GGTGGAGCACGTCAGCCTGGAGCACCCCCTCAGCCGGCACTGGGGTATGGCCCGGCCCCCCCAGCCCCGGGGGCACACTGGCAGGGGGGCCGGGGGGGAAAGGGGGCAACTGGGGGCGACTGGGAGGGAGTTTGGTGGGTCCTGGAGGTGAGGTGAGAGAGGTTGGAGGGTCCTAATGGGGCTGGGAGGGGCTTGGTGGGATCCCTGCAGGGGCTGGGAAGGGACTGGCAGGAGGTTTGAGGGGGTGCTGGGTGGCCTGGGAGAGTCTCTGGGAGGTTTTGGGGGTGCTGACCCCCCCGGCTCCCCCCAGAGATGCCACCGGACACCGTCCGCAGCAAGATCCTGGTGGGGGTCGGGGGCTTCGTCTTGGGCTTGGTCTTACTGGTGCTGGGGCTCGGCTTCTACCTGCGGGAGAAGGTAAAGGGGGGTCCCCGGGGGTCATGTCCCCCCCCTTGCTCTCCCACAGCCTCTGGGCCCCCCCTGTCCCCCCACCCCGCTCTCACCCCCTTTTCTCTCCCCACAGAGCTCCTGAGCCGCCGGCGGCCGCAGCCCCTCCCCGTGGCCTCGGGCCCAGCCGGGACCCCCCAGTCCAGCCCCACCTGCACTTTGGGGGGTCATGTGTCCCCCCCGGCCCTGTTTTTCTTTGTATTCTGACCCCAGCCAGCTGTTCCCAGTGTTCCCTTTAAAACTTCCCAGTTCTCTGCACTCCTGATTATTGGTGAGAAGTGGAGGGGCTGCGAAAATCCCAGGAACAGGGGATTTGGGCACTCCCAGAAAAAAAAAAAAACCTGCTAAAGGTGGTTTGGGCACATCTAGAGCTCAAAAATCTGGGGAACAGGTGGGTTTAGGCACTTTCAGCTCTTCAAATCTTGGAAAAGAGGAGTTTGGGCACCATCAGTGTCTGAAAAACCCAGGAACAGGGTGGTTGGGAACATTCAGACTCCTAGAAACATGGGGATATGGGCTCTCCTAGACCCTAAAAATCCCAGGGACCGGGTGGTTGGGGCACTTCCAGACCCAAAAATCTTGGAAAAGAGGGACTTGAACACACCCAGACTCCATCAAAATCCCAGGAACTGGGGAGTTTGGGCACAATCAGGGCCACAAAATCCTGGGAACAGGGCACTTTGGGACATGTCAGCCTCCCAAATACCCAGGAAAAGGGGGCTTGGAAACATTCAGAGCCTGAAAAACCTGGGAACGTGGGGTTTGGGCAATGTCAGCCTCCCAATAACCCCAAGAAGAGGGGGGTTTGAGCTCTCTCAGACCCCAAACATCCTAGAAAAAAGGGATTTTGGTTCTCCCAGACCCACAAAACTGTGAGAACAGGGGAGTTTGGGCACACTCAGAGTCCCAAAATCCCAGGAACAGGGGGTTTGATCACTCTCAGCTCCTCTAGTCTTGGAAAAGAGGAATTTGGGTGTCTGAAAAACATGGGAACGGGGGGTGGGGAACATTCAGACCCCAAAAATCTTGGGAACACGGGGGTATGGGCTCTCCTAGACCCTAAAAATCCAAAGGACGGGGTTAGGGCACTCCCAGAGCACAAAATATTGGAAAAGAGGGGCTGGACATTCCCAGACTCCAGAAATCCTGGGAACTGGGGGTTTGGGCACACTCAGACCCACAAAATCCTGGGAACGGGGGGGTTTGGGACAGGTCAGCCCCTCAAAAACCTGGAAGCAGGGGGGCTGGGACACACCCAGACGCTGAAAATCCTTGGAACAGGGGGGTTTGGGCAATGTCAACCTCCCAGTAACCCAGGAATGTGTGTTTGGGGTCTCCCAGCCCCAAAAAACCCTAGAAAAGAGCAGGTTAGGTACTCCCAGAAACCAAAAATTGTGAAAAAAGAGGGGCTTGGGCACTCTCAGACCCACAGAATCCTGGATGAAGGTGATTTGGGCACATCCAGACCCCCAAAATCCCTGGAACAGGGGGGTTGGGGCACTCGCAGACTCAGGAAATATTGGAAAGGAGGGGTTGGACACTCCCAGACTCCTCAAAATCCTAGAAACAAGGGAATTTGGGCACTCCCATCCCACCCAAAATCCCAGGAACAGGGGGGTTTGAGCACCTCCAGAGACACAAAATCTTTGGGGAAGGCATGTTTAGTCACCCCCAGCCCCTCAAAATCCTTGGACTGTGCAGGTTCAGGCCCTCAAATTTAGGGAAAACTGGTCTTTTGGCACTCCCAGATTTTGAAAATCTTGGAAAAAGTGGCTTTGGGCACTGCCAGCCTCTGAAAAACCCGGGAACAAGGAAGGGTTTGGCACACACAGACACCAAACATTCTAATAAAGTTCCATATTTTACAGCTACACCCAAGGTGGGCCCAGTTGCTCCCAGTCCCCCTCAGCATGGTTCCTTTCCCTCTCAGGGACTCCCAGTCTGAGTCCAGTATGGCCCCAGGCACTTTCAGTCACTGCCTGGACGATGCCATTTGCCCCCTGCATGGTCCCAGTTGCTCCCAGTATGATCCCACTAGGAGTCCAGTCACCCCCAGTATGATCCCAGCAACTTCCAGACACTTCCAGTACAAATCCAGTTTGTACCCAGTCATCTCGGTATGGTTGCAGTCCCTCTCCCATACTCCCAGTGTTATTGCAGTCACTCCCAGGATGATCCCTGTCAGTCCCAGTGTGATCCCAGCATGAGCCCAGCAGGGGCCCAGCTGCTCCCAGGATGATCCCAGTTGCCCCCAGCATGGTTCCAGTCACTCCCATTCACCCCTATTATGGTTCCACTCACTCCCAGACACTCCCAGTATATCCCAGTTGCCCCCAACATGCTCCCAGTTGCTCCCAGTATGATCCCAGTTGCCCCAGTTCTGGTCCCGCTGGCTCCAGTCCAGGTCTCGGTGTATCCCGGTGTCCCCCCTGTCCCCCCACCCCGCTCTCACCCCCTTTTCTCTCCCCACAGAGCTCCTGAGCCGCCGGCGGCCGCAGCCCCTCCCCGTGGCCTCGGGCCCAGTCGGGACCCCCCAAACCCTGCCCTGATTTTGGGGGCTTTGGGAGGGCACCCTTTGAGAGTGTGCTGAACATTCTGCTGCAGGCCTGCTTGCACAATCCAGACAGCAAGGACAGTGTGTCCTTGAGCAACACACAGGAGGAGGTTACATGAAGATAAACAAGAAGAGAGAATGTTATCCAGGATTGGAGGGCCTGGAAAGGTCTGATCGTTGCCTGGGGGACGTGAGGAGACAGAGTTACAGCTGTAGCGTGTGAGCCCTGTAGGACCCTGTATAGTTTGGGTAATTTTACAATAAAGTGGAGCATTGACTGTACCTCTGTGAGGATGTGTCTTTGACTCTGGAGCTCCTTTTCCATCTTCAGGCACCTGCCCTTCAACACGGCACCCAGAACACCCCAAAAAGTGCTGGGACATCCCTAAAATGCCCACAGCTCCTCAAAGACCCCCTAAACCAACCAAAGCCCACCCAGGACTCCACCTAACCCCATTGTTGGGGGGACTTTTATGGGCTCTGGTGTTACTGGGAGCCCCCCCAGCTTCAGGAGAGGAGCTCTGGGGTGAGTGGGGGGTGGGAAGAGGGGGGTGGGTGAGAAAAGGGGTGTGGAAAGGAGAGAAAAGGGGTGGTGGGACCCCCACACTGAATGGGACAGGAGTGGGACCCCCCAAAAGTGGAGGAGGAGGGGGACTGAGGATTGGGGGCTGATGGGAAAGGGGTGGGAGAGGTCAGAAGAGTGGGGAAAAGGGGAGGGTGGGACCCCCAAACTGAGCATGAGGGGGGCTGGGGATTGGGGGAATGATGTGTAAGGGTTGGGAGAGGGGGGAAAAGTGGGGGATGGGACCCCAAAACTGATCTTGGGGTGGCTGGGGATTGAGGGGACCATGGAAAAGTGGGAGGAACAGGGAGAGGGGTGGAAAAGGGGGGTGGTCTGGAGGGATGGACGGTCCCATGGGGGTCTTTGGGCACTGAAGGATTGGGAAAGGGGGGTGGTCCCCCTCAGCTCCCAACTGACTCTGGGGTGCTGGGGGCTGCTGGATCCAATCTCAGCCTTGCATTGTGCCAACAGTTGAAATTTAGAGCAATTCCAGAGGGGGGACTGAACCACCTTTGTCCCCCAGGCTTTAATGAGGGCATTTAAGGATGTACCTCGACCACCCCTTTAAGGGGGGGTTCAACACAGGGGGGGTCACGGAAAACAAAGGGTCAGGGCACATTTACCCCACTCTTCAAAGGTCTATTTGCCTCT